GCCGATTAATACTTTGTATATCAGTAGTACAGCTAAAATGAACACAGAGGCATATATAGTGTCTCGACAAGTGGCTGTTCAAAAGCATAAGCCTTGTTAACAGAATCACAACAGAAAGTAGAATAAAAAAGGGGATGGGGGTCCATAGCAACTGAATAATTTGACATGCATATAGTCCACCAATCGGAAGACATCATTTAAATGTTTTCATGCTAAAGTAAAGTCTGGACCACTATTGCTACTATGCTCCTCTAAGCCCCATGACACATGTGATGCTGCACGGACAGCACGGACCTTATGTGACATAAAAAGAACTAAAACAAAAAAAGAGGCAAAAGAAAAAAAAACAAAAAGTAAAACAAGTGCCTGCACAGCACGTCCTTCAGAATGTAAGTGATACTTCTTTAAAACCCAAAACCCATATTTTAAGCATAGATATTAAATAAAGAAGTAAAATAATAATAATATATACATGTTGTCAAGGCTAAAAGATAAAAGAAAACCGAAAAAGGAATAAGAAAAAAACCGAATTTTATAATATATTATCAAACTATCATAATAAAAATAATAAAAAAGAACAGCAACTCATGATTGAGACGTCATGAGTTTTATAAAAAAAAACACCTATCCAAACAGAACGCGTCAAAACAACTCTCTTCCACATATCATTAATACTTTATACACTTCTTTACTGCTCTCTCACAAACTGCTTTAATCAACATAGACGTTAAAGACGAATCATGACCAATACAAATCCATTTTGCTAGTCAAATCTCAGGCTTTTATCATATGTAAAACAGTCAGTAGCAAGATATAATACAACATGTCAAAATCAGTACACAGCAAAAATGAAATACTGAGGTCCAACACTGGTTTGACCATCAATCCATCCAAAGCCTATCCACGCTCAGAAACAAGAGATAAACTGACAGGACTTACTATATTTCAAGGAGTATATGATATTCATCAAAGACACACATTGTGAAGATTATATTTGTTTATTCTTTTGACAAACAAGGTCAAAGATAAAAAATAAGATCTCCATCCAGGCCTACAGGTATATAAAGGCTCGTTGATTAATCATTGACTGTCTTTGATATTTCTGTAGGGACTTTTCAGGCAAAGTCAAGCAATCAAAAACAGGTTTCCATTCAGGGCCAAAGGTACACCAAGACTCGATGAGCATATACTCATTGTCTTTTGTATGCTTCTAGTGTCTTCCGTCCAGGTCAAGCATCAGGGATCCGATCAGAGTCCACGGTTATCAGGTATATCAAAACTCTATGAGCAGTTACTCACTTGTTTTTGTATATTTGTAGTATCCATTCCATCCAGGTCAAGCCTCAAGGTTCACGTCAAGGTCCACGGTTTTAAGATCAAGGTCCACGGTTTTAAGATCAAGGTCCACGGTTTTCAGATCAAGGTCCACGGTTTCAGGTATATCAAAACTCGATGAGCAGTTACTCACTTGTTTTTGTATATTTGTAGTATCCATTCCATCCAGGTCAAGCTTCAAGGTTCAGGTCAAGGTCCACGGTTATCAGGTATATCAAAACTCGATGAGCAGTTACTCACTTGTTTTTGTATATTTGTAGTATCCAATCCATCCAGGAAA